TAAATAAAAAGTTATTGATATACACATACATACCTTTAACTTTTTCGGCAAATGGTATTTCCCATGCATACATTTTGATCAGTTTAATACACACTATCATCTCATTCACCACCCGAACTCGTTGGTCTGTTATCTTGATAGCTTTCGTCTCAGTGAAGCAATCAATTTCGAAGTGTATAACTAGAAAAGTTTTAAAATACATGCAGCATGATTCAGAGTAATATTAGCTACAATAACATGATAGTTTCATCTTTATTTTAAAATTTTGCAATGTTTCACTTTTCTGCGTTTGGGTTCTAAAAACTTAATATCACTATCCAATAAATGATAACAAAACGTCACATCAGCTAATAAGTCACCTACATTATGAAACAAATCATACCTGAATCGGCAACATCAGAAAGAAGATTAAGCTTCCAATTAGTCCGGCTGGTCCAAGGAATACCGTTGTGTATATCATGATGATAATACCCATTATTGGACCTGCGATGAGCAAAACAGCAGAAGACACTGCCTCAAATATTCGCTGTGTGTCATTGGTAGATAAGTTGACGAACTGAAACATAAATGACAGTCTAATTGATTTTTTTAATTCAATCAAAGTCGGCGTACAACTTGTGTTCAAATATCATGCAAACAAAAATAATTTGACACCCACATGGGACACCGGGGGAAGGCGATTGTTTTTTATTCATAAATGCGTGTCGTCAAATGGTTCCCCTGTTTGAAAATGTCTGGAATGTTGTCTTTAATTTCATCATTTATTTATCAAAAAAATATCAATAAAATATAAGGGTGTTTATTTTTTGCAAATATAATATGTATCTATTTTGTATTTTAGTAGTAGTTTTAATTACGTCATAGTTTGACGTGTCAGAGAAATATCAAGTTTGAACGTCCCTGACAAAATTTAAACACGTGTTAATGAACTAATCATTGTCCCATTGCACATTTTACAATTGGTGTTGTGTACGTTCAACGAGTGAAGTACCTTAGAACAATTCTTATGACAAAATACACTTCTAGGTCTAGAAGGTTGGCCTGGCTAAATATGGTAAATATGATCATAACCACACCATATCCAGAATTTTTTTTTGCCCACTCCCAATATTTTTTGAAGGTTTTGTCCACACATTTTATTGACAAAGTATCCTTCAGTTTCGTGAATTCCCCACTCTACCAGAAAATGTGTAAGTATTCTTTAAATAGTGGTAACTCTAAAACAAATTATATAATTATTTTATATAGTTTTTAAAACAAATGCAAAAACGCAAATTTACCGTCATTTGATTGTTTTTTTTCGACAATTGACTGCTCTATACTTTCTATACATGAATTATCAATGTTGAAGAATATTTAATATTGTTAAAAAGTGTTCAAACAAAATATAGGAAATAATAATAACCTCGCCAACAGTCTGGTCGTGCAGGATACAAAAAGACATCATCTTTTTGTAAGATATCATAAGTATAGCACTTCTAAGTCTCACTGCAGCTCTCAGTGATATCACTGCGCCACATGACACCGATAATGAGCGCACGACGTCAAATATAACCAGCAGTAAACAAAGACTCAGTGCGTATGGCATATTGAACTCTGTTCCTTGGATATAGTCCAGTAAAGCAAATATAAGTAACTGGTGAACAAAAATAAAGAACAGTGTATTAGAAGATGCTTCTATACTGGATTAATACTGTCGCCACATTTATTTTCCAGCACACGAATCAGTTGAAATGCTTTCAGAAATGGGTTTATCTTTCCGGCCGTGATATTATATAACTTGTCGATTCAGATAAAGATTTACGTTATGTGATACCTAAAAAAATTCATATGGTACATAGAAAACACAGCTACATATAATAAAAGTGTATACGTTATGACTAATAGCATCTTCGCAAGCCAAGGAACGTTTGTTTAGGATCACCCCTCCAAACTAATTGTTGGCAGATTAAACCACTACAGTGTGTATTTAATATGCGCCCTTAACGACAAGGAGGGGAGATGCAACCAAAAAAACAGCCAATCAGCTATCTTGTATCAAAATACAGGAGAGAGTTTTTTATATGGCGACCCAAGCAGAACAGATCCCGCAGTTTTTCAAGATAAAAAGCCTCACCGATCACTAAAACCACGCAATTGAGGCATTACCAGCTGAAAAAAAGATGAGTTTGTTGCAACGAGAACAGAAAGTGGCAATTCACGAATATTGTGTAACAGTTCAACTCTTGAATGATCAGTTGAGTAGAGTTTCTGAGATTTTCTTTCAGAGTTGACAGTTTCATTACTTTGTTAAAACATGGTCGACATAGATATTTTGTCACTTTGCTGACGAAGTATGCCACAAACAACCTGCACACTCTACACGCACGGTTACTAGAAGAATGTTGAAGTAACCGTGCTACACGTCTCCACTTCCGACATTATGTTCTTTAGCTTACCGCGCAATGTTACACAGCGTATGATTGAGCGCGCCTTTCCAACAGGTACATCCAATCGAACTTGACCATAAATACGCGTTTACCCAGGCTGAACCCGCACGGGTCGGTGGAGTCGGCAATGAGTCGGTACCAACAAACCTTGCAATTCGGACGATGAGCTAATAGTTACAATATAGGACCATATACTTACTGAAGTACTGAATATCGCCACGTCCAATATTACGAAGCTAAATGTAGCTTTGATAGCCTCTGTCTTAATAAACTTTAAAAAAACCTTTACTAAAGAAGCTTTCGCTGAACCTTTTATATCTAACTCATCGCTCCACAGTTTGTGCAATCTGTGAAAGTATGGTTTCAATTTAGGTTACAATTGTACAATAACATTTCTATTATATAGGTGCATTAATTGCATTCGTTTAATTTTGCTAGACGGATCACACTTCCTAAATCAATAAATGCAATATTGTATTACATGCTTGAAATTGACTTCATAAACTAAAAAGCAAAGACTTGTAAATACTTTTCACAATTGAACTCCGCTGAGTCAGATTCTGCACACCCCCAAAGATCGGTTACTTGCAAGCCTGTTTTGTAGGCTGTTTTCATCAACGGCGACATCCAGGTAAAATATAAATACGAGAATAATCCAGCATCATCTATTGGAAGGTCATAGTTTTTTTCTGAAAATCAAATGAACACGAAATCTAATGTCAGTAGATAAGCACAACTCACTTTAGCTATTATACTTCCATGTATATACGAAGTGGGTCCCATTCCATTAATGTAAAATATGCAAATAACAGAACTCACGCACATATACGAAGTGGTTCCCATTCCATTAATGTAAGATATGCAAATGACAGAACTCACGTACACACACGAAGTGGTTCCCATGTCATTAATGTAAGACATGCAAATAACAGAACTCACGTACATATACGAAGTGGTTCCCATGTCATTAATGTAAGATATGCAAATAACAGAACTCACGCACATATACGAAGTGGGTATATACTTAAAGATTGTCAAGGAAACGATTGTATGGCATATACACACGTTCTTCTGAAATTAATACTGATCTAGTACGCAATCACGGCATAATATATCTATACATTATGTGTTCACATACCTGTAGCATGTTTTATCGTTGGTTTGTATGCACTGACGTTAACATTTTGCGATGGTTCTGTTAAGTCAAAATCATGGCAATTCATTGCTTCTGCAAATGAATATGATCGATGATCAAGTCTGTAATAATGGTCGTCCTTAGTAGCGGCATAATCCCCCATAGTCAGTTAAGTTGATTATACCATCCTGTAGTAAATCAGATAAATGATGACTTGGGCAATACATTTATATATTTTTTTTCTGGATTGTATGTATATAAGTGTATTCATCTAAGGGAAAACTATACATCCCAAATAATGAACAAACCCCGAGTTTCAATGATTTTACGAATGTATTTATTCAAAACAAATTAAAACGATGTTCTATAAAATTAAATATAATTTTTTACAGATCATAATATTCGCAATATGTCAAATATTGGACCAAAAAAATACCCACAATATGAGTACACCGTTTGATTGTATACAAGTTCTGTATACATTGTTTGTAGATATTTGTCAGTTACATACTGTGACATATAATGCTGCCACCAGGATAATTTGGTATGACAGCATGCATGTGTATTTGGCCGGGTTAGTTTAGCTACAGTTTTTGTCATAACAACTTTTTTTTGAAATTTGCCACAAAATAAGAAGTTGAGACTACATTTTAAGTACTATAGCATTGCAAGTCGTGATTGTTATGACTCAAACTTTGGAAAGTAAAACATAATTTTAATTTGAAAGAAATCACTCAAATAAAGTGAAACAATCGGGCACGTAGTGATGTGAACAGTTAAGCAATCGTTTACAGCATAACTCACCTCAGGTATTTAAAATGCCAAAAAATGACCATGCTCACGTACGTGAGTTAGACCGGAAATCGGCCAAACTCACGCGTGCGCGTGAGAATGGGTGTTTTTACGTGTGTTCTCACGTAACACAGTACACTTCAAGGATTACAAAGATAAATGCGTGAACGTGCGTGAGAATGATTGTTTTTTTAGTGCGTTCTCACGTGGAGATCGAAAATGCGTTAGATCCCGATCTCACATGCGTGTAATAAACTGTCAAACTCCTGCACGAAAAAGTAATTACGTGACAATGGCTAATTTCCGGCCCAACTCACGTACGTGAGAAAAACGTGAGAATGGTCAAAATTTTGACCTATAAATAACTCCTCACCTATAATAACTGTACATAATGTAAATAATATATATAGGTATAAAGCTTAATATAACCTTCTTAAATATTAGTAAATCCGTCTCTGAGTAGTCAGGTTCTGGGAACAGTATAATATCGCAAAGAAATATAGTATATTATGCGCACCCCCCGTTATAATGATGTCATAGTTTTCAGCTTCCTGTGTCATATTCAGTGATTACTTTTTATTATAATATCCGGTCACGGTTATATAATATAATATAGGGATACTTATATTACCTACTTATATAATATAGGGATAGCATGGTTGCAGCGAAGTTGCAAACACTGTAACTCGTTGAGACATATCAGTGACCTCATTTTTAATCACCTTATATTATTGTTACTTATTAACCTAGGTGATTCAAGACCGAATACATAAAGGTCAGTCTGTTTCTGTATTTGTCTACTACATCGACCTAGTTTAATGGGATGAATGCATCATGGTTCTACAACAGTAATCTCGAAATTGTACTTACCAAACTGTAAAAGAGCATAAACAAACTAAAGATTGTTTCCAAATAAAACTCAAAATAGTTTTGTCCAGTATTTCGTGATGTATCCCGTTTTAAATTCTTGCTAGTTCTCTTCCCATTGCACGTTTCTGACACTAGTATATTCCTTGTTCCTGGTAGTCTTCACTCGTATGCATTTGGTGCGTCTTCTCGCTGTTTAAATTTGACAGTCACAGCATATGCCAACTGTGACTCACTCGGCTAAGTGGTCAAACACATAGGACAAAGTTCAATTAATTGTGACCTGTGATCCTATTGGCGAACCGCTTGTAAGATGTTAAATTTTGCATAGATTGAAAATACAAGAACCATATCGAAAGAATAGAGAATGCGCATTTTACTGTATTTCCACTAGAAAGAGTAATACTGATGTAAGTTGCGCCAGCTATTAAAAAGATAAGTATCTCATAATATTCTCGCGTTCATTCCACCGTTTCTTACAGGAGGCTTGAATATAACAGCCAATGAAAAATGCACACAATTGCACTTATTCCGTAGATAGGCAATGTTTCAAAAGAGCAATACTATCTGGTTAATGTAACATATCATAGTTTTGGGCCACTATTGATATAGTTCAGACTCTTCCACTTTTCTTTTCGTCCGCCGATTTCTCCATCTAGCCGTTTGAGAAAAATACTGAGAGTAATGGTCCGCATTTTTGATATACCCTAGTGTGAACTGGTGTACCTGAATTTCAGAATGTTGGTAGATTAATTGGTTTGGATTAAATACAAGCAGAAAGTATTGATAAATCCTCTAACCTCCTTTCGTGTTACAAACCTGAAATATGTGTAAACATCTGAGCCAATAAAACAGTGCAAAATATGGCTATTACCTGGACTCCTGCTTGCACCTTCAATAATAAACATACATTTACACCTGCTGGAACACCTGTCCAGCTCCATATAGCAAACAGAAGCAGAATGATGCGGGTTTAATAACGTATAGAGGTCAACATAACAACTTAAAACTACTTCAATATTTGAATCTACATACTTTGATGAAATAGTGTAAACGTACATACAGTTGACAATTACACCTATCAATTTAGGACACCAATGTAACAGTCTTTGCGTATGGTCGCCGATGTTCCCCCCTTCCATGTGGGTCCAAACTCTGCACATACGTAACGTGTTGACGTCTTATTTTTTCTCTTACGCTAAGTAACTTGTGTCGTCTTAAAGCCACACAAACACCGAAATGTCATGAAATTATTTCACAAAAAATGTTTTACTAATTCTTTGGTTCTTCCAAACCAAGAGCCAGTAAACAACCCCTTAATGCGAGATTTTAATCACCAGATGCAGTCCACACCGACGAAACTTGTTATAGTCAGAGCACGGTATATGTCTCTAATGTTGTGCCCTTTGTCTATTAGGCGTGGATTGAAGTGACTAATCGGCCCTCTTCCCAATTAGAGTAAAATTACAACAATACAGAGTAATTCGAGGCGTGTACATCTGATCACGTCTGATTTAGGAGGATAGGAATTAGTGCTTGATTTTTTATGTTTGGTCAGCATGTAGCAGCATCTAACTTTTACCCATCATACTTTGCAAAATGTTAGTTTGTCTTCTAATTTGTGTTAGATAATCAAATGTTCCTTTTAAACATTCGTGCATTTATCTTCTAGCTTACATGTATGCTAAATTTTGTGTTGGCTCAGAAAGTAAGCCGGTAAATTTGAGAGACAAGTTTTTGAAAATGAATGGCGACAGAAACCCCTGCACTAATTTCCGACTTGAAAAGTAAGTTATAGCCATTCAACGAGTAGACATGTTATGCTGTTTGAAAATAAACTATGAAAATTGAGGATGAGATTAATTCCCCTTCCGGTTGTCCGATGCATAACACACAAAGATAACGACTATATAGTAATTCAGCTTTCAAATAAAATAAAATAATAAGACTACTTGAATATCGACAAACTCAATTTGTAATAATTAATAATTCATTTTACTTTTACGTTCAAAAAATAACGTGTAATACACGTTTTAACAATGATGGGTTAGTACAATATTAAAAAAAAACAATCAGACAAACAGACGATTGTTTTAAACTAACAAAAGTATACTGAACATTTGATACTTTTGTCTGTAACGATAATTTCACCAGACGACGTTGTTCGTTGTTGTTGTTGATCTCATAATCAGGTTGTTTATTACAAAGACATCTGAAGATACGAAGTAGATACTGGTAATGGTACATAGCGTGGTTGGTCTCCATAGGTCGCTATAGTGGTTTCGCGCAGATGCATACATTGTAGTTCAAGTCTGTCTGATTAACTAATGTTAACTATACCTATGTAAAAATAGATATGTGCTGTTTCAGTGCATATTTCCTTGTGGGATCATGTGGTACAAAACATGTAATTATAAATGGCTCAATACTTTCAAATCGATGCAATACATGGGTGGCCGACAATGTTTTACGCTCAATAAAAACTGGAAGCAGTTAAATTATCTGGACGATTGTAGTTAGGTGAGAGAGTTTCTATGGCGAAACATGGTTCTAGTCTGGAAGATTAGTGGAACACATGGGTGTGTTTTCCTATTCGAGTGTAGAGACCATTTCAGACTTATATCATCAATTTCACTTTGTGTGTATGTGAAATATTGTGGATAGAATCGTGTAAATTGTTATTAGATACCATTATACTAAGAATAGAGTGGTTTGGATGGAGCTTGAAATTAATGATATGCATTATGTTTATGGCACTAGAATACAAAAATAATGCGACTAAAATATCATTTTGAACATTATGACAAATAACTATCAAATCAATTATAGAAAAAATATTTATTCATATTATATTTATATTTCTGTGAGATTGTCAATTCTTAAACAAATGTTGAATAAAGCAAAAACGTGCCGTACATTATCTGTAATCTGCGTGTGTGTATGGGTTATAATATGACGCACACATCGCGATAGGAACAGTATATCTATGTTTGGTCGTGAATCTTCAAGTAAGTCATGCTTATTCTCAGTAAAATAAAACTATCTGTAAAAATGCGCAGTAGCAAGTGATTAATAACAATCGCCAATAAACAACCGCACGGATTGCACGGGCGACGACTGAATTGGGCATTTAAACAGTTGACAGCGCCACCAATGGCGAAATCGTGAGTGAACTGCTGTCGCGTGCAGCTCACTTGTACAGTACATGTAAAATATTAAAAATTAAAAGCTGGAATTTAGAAATACTAAGTTCAACTCTTGCACCTTATTCCACTGAAGTAAATTCGGCCGATTTTGTGATATTTACTATCAAATAGTTTTGGATGAACAAAAGATAACAACACAATTAAGTGTGAAGGCGCTATTCACAGACACCGTGCTTGCAGAACAGATACGCAAGCATCAAATAAAGATACAGATTATTTAAAGTTTGATTATCCACCTGTCTATTTTGATAGATCGACCGCGATTTTGCCTTCTCCTGTACTTTGTAACATTCAATCCAATATAATAACCCTGTAATATGTTCACGTAATATGTTTAATCTGATACAGGCCCTGAGACATATTACGAGTAACATAAACAACCACTAGGATCAAACGAGGACAACATCAACGATTACAACAAACAAACATTACACGTTCATGAATTCTTTCGCAGATTCTCCTGGGAAAACCACTTAAAATGTGTTTATTTCAATAAACATAGTTTATAGGTTGTGACGAACTCTTTTAAAGAGGAATTCTATACCTCGATAATAAACTCTTTTTAAAAGACATTTTATTAAGCTCCGCCAAGTTTTGTAAAGGTGTCGGAGCTTTGTTTGCTAAACCCTGGCGGCACCCAACATAGCTCTGCAGCCGGTGTATTCAGCGTCCACGCCTCAGTGGTATTCTTTATTACTATCGAAACTTTAACAAAAGGTTATTTGCCGAGGTTAATACCCTCGGTATTTTGGGGTCACCGTGAGGAGTGCCTAGTACGTCGCCGGGGGCAATGGACTTCTCTGATATATATATACAATACTATAACACTATCGGTATTACGGCGAAAGGTGATGAGAATAGTAACAGGGAGACACGTGCTGGCTGGAAAACTGCATTCACACTGTTACAAAGAGAATCGTTAAACACTAGTATTCATTCGTAAAATTGTTACGTACAGTCTTATATGAAATTATTCGAACTCTGAGATCGTACTACTATACCTACTTTTTTTCAGAACAAATATACACGGATTTTTTAAATTTTTTCTCAGCTTTTGATGAAAAGTATTTGTGACATATATGATCTGAGTCGCTAACTCTATGGCGAGTTTCAATTTTTTGCTCATCACAAAAAAGTTACAGTGAATATATATATAGTTTACCTTCATACCTATACGACTAATAGTCACGATTATACCGATCCATTCTGTGATGACAGTTGTCTGTATTCACCAAGTGGTTGCTTGGAAACGAGGTATAAGGTGTAACTATAAGTCACGTAATGAACAATAGTCCATTTGTATACAGTGACCTCACCGCTTATATACGGATTAAGCTACACAGTACGCAATTATTTGTTTTTGGACATCTTAATCTTAATATTGGTAAGATTCTGATATCTTTGCCACACGTTTACGTCTCCAAGCACTACAAGGTTGACGCATGCGCAGTACCCAGACGAATATACATCGACATGCTAATGACCGTGACGCGCCATGGATGGGCATTGCCATCGCCAGGAACAAACGGTCAATTCTCAAGTACGTTCCTCTAAAGTGATTTGTAAAGATACATCGCTAATTGGCTATAAATTGAATGCAGACGTCACGTGTATTGTCAGTTATCGATCAACTTGACTGAGTTTGCGAACCATGTGAGCTAAAGAACTACAATAAGAACTGCTTAGTGGTTAAAACCACAATGTTTTGTTATCGTGAACTTGTGTGAACTCGGGATACTTACATATCCTGTATTAAGTTCGACCCCAATTGTTACCTAAACTTACCTCATGGTTGTTAAGTTATTATTAAACATTATTCAGCGGAGGACACGATGATTAAGACTAATAGTCAGATCACATCCACATTATCCAGAAAAGTGCACCTGCTAGGTCGGTTGTTCACTTAATATTCATAATTTAGAGTAATTTCGAATCATCGTGAAATCAAATTGATAAAACCAGGTACACTC